GGGGGAGGGGGCTAATGGCAGCTGGACGTGTTCGTCCGTAGCTCTCCTGCATGTAACCGGGCATCAGTGATTATGTGCCTCTGATCGCTTTCTCCTACACCTCCTACACCAATGATGGGCTCTAAGCGCAATAAGAAGTCCCAGGGCTCTAAGACGCAACACTCGCGGACAACAAAGGCCGGTATAAACACCTTGTTTTCGGGCCCGGCACACACGCGCGCCGCTGCTGCCTCTACAGCTAAGATGGCGGCGCCCGGCGGGGATTCCTCGTCGCTGTCCGGTTCACCTTCCTCACTGCCCATAGAGCAGTCACCTGTGCGGGACACCCACGACATATCCTCTGATGGGGAGTCAGTACTGAGCAGCTCAACAGGAGATGTCAGGTGGTTGCTTGATCACTTACCCTCTAAACGGGATATGGAAGCCCTGTTCACTCGTTTTGAGCACATCCATAGGGCTGACATGGAAGGCCTCCCCGATGCTATTCGAGGGGTCCATCAACGCCTGGATATAGTGGATTCACAGTTGGATGTATACCGCACTGTCACAACAGAACTACAGGCAGCTGTCAAGGATCATCACAGGCTGCTCCAATCTGTCTGGACACAAATGGATGACACTAAGGATAGAAGTCGATGAAACAACATTAGGATTCGGGGTCTGCCAGAGGCAATAGAAACAGCTGACTTGGAACCCACTATTAGAGGTATTTTTAATTTACTCTTAAACAGAGAAGCGACTGAACCGATTGAAATTGATAGGGCCCATCGAATTCCCGGATTTAGGAAACCTGCTGCACATCAACCGCGGGATGTCCTCTGGCGCGTCCATTTTTTTTAATTAAAGGAGGATATTATGGCTAAAGCACGTGATCGTGATAATATTAGTTGGGAAGGGGCATCCATAACCCTTTTTCCGGACCTGTCGCCTCGCACCATGGCACGACGCAGGTCTCTGCGACCCCTCACCTCATCACTCCGGGAGCTACACATTCCCTACAGGTGGGGATATCCCTTTCATCTGTCGGTACGTAAGGGGGGACACCTGGTGGTTCTTCGCACCCCAGAGGACCTAACCAGCTTTACTACTGACCTGGGAATCTCACCGATGGAATTGGACCGTTGGCCGGATCCCCCCGCCCCAGAGCTGGCTACGATCCCATCGCTCCCCCGGTGGACAGAGATATCTCGTTCTAAGAAGTTGCGGAGGGACCCCACCATGCGTAGCTCCTTGTCTTAGATGATATGACCTGACCCTTATCTCTTTTTTTTTATGTCCATCCTGGGTGAGGATTGTCTTATCCTGTATTATTTTTCTTGAGACCTCCCGGTTCCTGGACCCCCCTATGTGCCTTAGGTATTACTATTTGTTTCCTCTGACCTCCCGTTCCATATTCCTACATGCGGGACGTATTGGGCAGAGAAACTGGCCTGTGCTGCAACTGCTTTACCTTGAGCCTTGACTATACCTGTTTTTGGATAGGGCAGGAACACCCCTGGAGGGAGCATCATTATTGGGATTGCTCTAGACTGCTGTGAGGGCCCCCTAGAGTCGGGACAAGATGAACTGGGGGCATCTGTTTCGCTCTCTGGGGTGAGCGTCATTATGTCTTATAAACCGGACTATACACTAGGGGCCTCCATGGGGGGGGTCTCTCTAAGGTTACTAGGCTGTTTTGACAGGGGTTGTTGTATGGAACTTAGTATTTAAACATGGTCTACCCGCCCGGGTCTTGCTTGATGGGACCTAAGGAAGTGCTTCCCAAATATGGCAGGCCCCGGCGGTGGCCTTGTCTGATAACTGATGTAATATATATGTATGTGTATATACCGGATCAATCTCGCCCTGAACCGTGGCCAGCAGTATGTGTCTGCCTCAGCATTGTCAGATGGGGTATTACACCTGCGAGGTCCATATTTCCTCATGGGGACACCCCCCTATGAGTAGCGATACCCTGCTCTGGCAACCCCTGGAAGGGGCCCTTTTAGTAACTGGGTGGGTTAGGAGTCTTATACAGACCTCTTGCTATTATCTGTACTATGGTGGGCTTCCCTATATGGGGCAGCCCTGATGGGAGGAGGTTCCATATAGGGTTTTTTTTTTCTTTAATTACTTCTATCACTATCAAGTTATCAGGCTACATTGATGGGGGTGGTTGTTGGTAACTTCTTGGAGCTGTATGTTTTGCCCTCCTGGGGACTGTCGGATGGATTCTGGGCCGATGCACATTGAGGTGTAGGGTTGAGGTGTATGGTTGAGATGAGTGAGGACATATTATCATAATTTTGCATTAACTCGATCCCCCTAACGCCTCACCGTCTCCCCTGGGCATCCCCCATCTTGGCAAAACCCAGGCTGCAGCCTTTATTGATTAATACTATGTATTTATGCTCTGCAATACTCTCGTCCGAATTTAAGATCAACAATATAGGTTTCAGATCTATTACGCATTTGAATGGTCAGATGGACATGGGGAGGGAGGGGTACTGAGCCACTAGTGGGAACAAGACATCTTACCCCAGGACGCAGTTGCATCAAGGGGCTAGAAACTGTGGGGATTTTTCGTGTGTAACCTATGGAGTGAAGGACATATGTTGCACAGATGTTTCTGAAATAGGGGTGACTTTTTATTAAATTCCCCCTCTTTGGGGGTTTAGGGTTTTCTTTTTGTTAAATAAATATATAGAGGGGTATATAAATAGGGAGAGAATTACTGTGTGGACCCGGTGGGTCTGTGCTCATGACAGCCCCTGGAGCCCTGGAGGACTGGGGCTGGTTTTTGGGCATGGCGCCCCACCGGACCACACAGTCACATGATATTCTATAACTTCACATAGTCATATGTAATTTAGTTTACACAGAAGGGGGGGGGGACGAGGGGAGGAAAGGGAGGGGGGGGAGCAAAGGGAGGGGGGTACGAGAAGAGGGAATGAATTGGTTCAGGGGTAGCAACGAAGCACATGATTGTAGTCTTAGTTTTATAAGGCTCCTTATCTATACACATAGGTAGCACATTGTAACTATCACTAATCTGAGGGGGCTTGTGTGCCCCGCTACACATGAATTGATACATAGTACCATATATACTCGAGTATAAGCTGTCCCGAATATAAGCCGAGGTACCTAATTTTACCAAAAAAACCTGGGAAAAAGTATTGACCCGAATATAAGCCGAGGGTGGGAAATGAGGCAGCTACTGGTAGATAGATACCAATAAAATTACATTAATATTTATTTAAAAGAAAAATAACCTAGCTCTGTAAGTGGAAAAGGGGGTACAGGGCTACATATCATGTACTACGGATCATTTAACCCATTCATATTAGCAGAGGATAATTGTAAATCTATTGTTCAGTG